GCCACTCCAGATCTCTGTACTGCAAAACCTGAGTTATTAATTCCGTGGAAAAACAGCCTTTGGTCAGAGTTTACTAGCAAGAAATAGTTCTCGAAATTGGGTCAATCATATTAGAAGTCTCAAAGGCCTCTGAAGATTTCTTGGATCCTGGACACATTAATGAATATTGGAAGGGATATAAATTGACTTAATTTGGTTTACACCAAAAATGCCTATGTTTAGAATTGAGCTCAAGTTCAAGTGTGCATGGTAGTTATTTTTAACATTTAAAGACTGCTCTTTTGTGCGTTTATTTCCTCCTTCTTTCATTTATTCATTCATCAAATGTTCATTGAATATCTCTCATGCATGGAACATATGCTTGACCCTTTGATCAGATGGACTCCACTGAAATTAGTTTTCCTCTTCTTTCTAGATGGGCAGTGATGACACCAAATATAAGCATGAACAGAAGATTTGAAACTAAAGATCCTAAAACCCATCAAGGCAAGATCCAGCAGCCCCCACTCCTGTAACAGGTATGGACCAACTCAAGAGTCAGCATCCAGAAAGCTTTTCTGTTCTTGACCACTATGCTGAAGGGTTCCACTGGGTGGGGTGGGGGAAGGGATGAGGCCAACTTTATGATGGTCCTATCTGACTCCAGTTGAAACAAATCAGAATTGAATAAAGTATCTAAATAAAGCTAGTTGGCGGGGAGGGTCCTTCTTTTTCCCAAGGCAGAAGGAACGTGGTTATCTTCTGAATGCTCTGACTAAGAGTGGACCTCTTTCACTACTATTTGAAATTATGAAGGAGATTCAAGATCAGTGAGGGTTCTTTGGCCACAAGCAACAGAAACAGAAACTGGACAAATTGAGCAGAAACAGATAATTATTGGAAGAAGTTGGGCATCTCATAGATCCAACGTGAAGGCTGAAGACCCAGGCTGGGAAAGCTTGGGGACCAGGCAGCTCCCAAAGTGCACCAAGAGCGTGGCCACTGGGAAGAGCACCACAGCACATTTCCCACCTTGCATCCACCACTCCAGTCAGAACACAGAGGTCCAGGAGAAATGGCGTGATTGGCCTGGCCTGGGTCCCAGCTCTGCAACTGGCCAGGGGCACTTTGGCAGGCACTTGATTCTCAGCCCCACCAAGATTACGCACCATGAGGGAGAGGAGATTCCCTAAAAGGTATCAAGTGCTTTTACTCAAAGGAGTGAAGTGGAAGCTGAGTGTTCCAAAAAACAAGAAAAATCTTCTACTTTAGTGAGGGTTTCCCACCACCCATCTGTCAGTTTGTCATACTGTAGTGGCTTGCATGTTACTGTGATGCTGGAAGCTATGCCATCAGTATGTCAGATACCAGCAGGGTCATCCATGGTGGACAGGTTTCAACAGAGCTTCCAGACTAAGGCAGACTAGAAAGGAAGGCCTGGTGATCTACTTCCAAAAATTAACCAAAGAAAACCTTTGGATCACAACAGAACATTGTCTGATTCACTTGCTTCGGACACATCGTGAGGAAGGATCAATCGCTGGAGGAAGATAGCCTGTTTGGTGAAATACAGGGCCAGTGGGGCAAGGGAGACCCTCAGTGAGATGGACTGGGACAATCGTCACAATAGTGGACTCAAACATGTTGGGGATCGTGAGGATGATGCAAGACTGGGCAATGTTTTGTTCTGTTGTACATAGGGCACCATGAGGCAGAGCCTACTCCATGGCAACTCTATTTATCTAGAGGGTATTTCATTGGTGGGGGTGAGGGGTGTTTACTTCATTCTAAGGTTCTAAATTTAGATCTCTAACTATCCAGTTTTTACCTTAATGTGGAAGTGGAAGAACGCCATTCTTACCGAGTTCAGTCATTGCCAAGAGCAAACTCCCAACATTCAGGCCAACCCAGGCAATCTTGCCATCAGCATCCGGAGATTCCCTTCCTATTGGTTAGGACCTTGAGAAGCAGCAAACTTGAGGTACAGTGGCTGAGGCAAGTAAAGCCAGCCCCACCCCTACCCCCCCCCCACCCCCACACCTAATAGGAAGTCCAGTGGGAGGTGGCTGTGGCACAGACGCCCTCCTCACTAGAGCCATGGAGGGCCCAGGACTGCTCTGGCCACTCAGCATCCTGGCAAGCTGGCCTGTGGGCTTCCAATCTTGTACCTTGGGTTGCAAAGCGAATGCCTCCATTCCAGGAATCATGTCTGTTCTCGGAGCAGGAAGAAAGGCCAGAGCAGGGTGTTCCTTCACTCAGAAAGGCTGGAGTGTTCCCAGAAGTCTTCTTCCATCCCTTCGACCAGAACTGTGCCACACAGCCACACAAGCTGCATGGGAGTCTGAGGATGTGTTTAGCTTCTACAGCTCTGATAGTGGAAGTGGGTGAGGGAGAGAAGGGTGGGAAAGGACATGAAGTTAGCCAGCCAGCAATGTTGGCCCCTCACTCTGGCACAGGAGCGGACGCTGTCCCCTTCCCAGAGGCCTTCTGAAAGGCGTGTTCTGTAAGAAGTCTGTCCTTTCCGGGAACAAGCAGCCTTGGTTTCCAAGGCTAAGCTGCAGACCACATAGGAGAACAGGTCGGTGGTTCCTCATTGGCTAACTCAATTTGCTAGAACTCAGGGCACTCTTTCTTCTCCAGCAGCCCCAGCTTAATCCTTTCTTCCATAAAAACACATCGGCCTGCCAACGATTCAGCATTTGAAACTCACCAATGTCTATGTTTCAGGGTGAGGAAATAAGAGGCCCCAAGGAATGCTGGCCCCCAGGAATGGAACACATGAGCATCAGCCCTGAGCTGGGGGCCTTGCAGGATGGTGGTGCAGGAGGCACATGGAGGCCCTTGCAGCCAGCCCCTGCTGTAGGAGCGTGGGCCTTATGAACTGAATTGTGTCCCCCAAAAATATCCAATACCTGTAGACAGAATCACATTTGGGAATAGGGTTTTCTTTGTTATGTTAATGAGGCCAGATCAGTGTAGGGTGTGTCTTAAGCCAATCACTTTTGAGATATAAAAGAGCAGACCAGGCATAGAGAAGGAGACACAGAGGGGAAATGCGAGTCTACAGAAACTGAAAGAGATCTCCTCCCCCGCCCCCACCGGATGACAGAGACAGGACCTTCCTCTAGGGCCAGTGCCCTGAATTCAGAACTCTGGTCTCCTAGCTGTGAGAAAATTTCTGTTGATTAAAGCCACCCAGTTGTAGTATTTCTGTTACTGCAGCACCAGGAGACTGAGACAGCAGAAGGGATGAGCCTGGTCCCTCAGCAAACAGCAGAGCAGGACACCAGGGACTCTGTGCACAGCTCCACCTCCGTGACTGGCAGTGAACACTTTTACTTCTGTCCCCAAAGCGCTGCCAGCCTTATTCCTCGGGCAGCCCGTGGGGAGGGAGGGGTGGAACACCACCCCTGAAAAGTGGGGCTGCTCTGTAACCAGGTTTTGTCTTTCCCTTGAGGAGCCCAAAGCACCCTGCCAGCTCTTCCTGGTGGCAAACGCACATGGCACTTGCTGGGCCTGCTGCAGAGTCTGAACTTGCCAGTTAGTGCAGCTTTTCAGGTGCTCCTTGATGTACCACCTAGCCCATGTGCCTGGTCCCCTAGTGCTGCTGCAACAGAAATACCACAGTGAGCGACTTTCAAGAACAGACATTTTCCCACAGTTCTGGAGGCTGAGAGTCCAAATCAGCGTCTCGGCTGTGTCAATTCTGTCCTTGTCGGTGGTCCTGGGTGCCCCTCGTTGCCTGACCATCCTCACATGGCATCTGTCTTCTCCGATGTGTCTCTCTCCGTGGCTAATCTGCTCTTTTTGTAACAAAGAAGTGATTAGATTTAGAGCCCACCCTACTCAAAAACAAACCAAAAAACCTAAACCCATTGCTGTCGAGCCGATTCTGAAACATAGCCACACTGTAGGACAGAGTAAAACTGCCTCATAGGGTTTCCAAGGAGCTGCTGGTGGATTTGAACTGCCGGCCTTGCGGTTAGCTGCCGTAGCTTTTAACCACTGCACCACCAGGGCCCCACAGAGCGCGCAGGGGAGTGGGGGAGATATACCATGGGTGCTCACATCCCCCTCCAATTCCCACAGTGTCTCCCTCTGGCCAAACCCCACTGTGATTCAGAGAGTTAGGGAGCCCAGGTGGTGCAGGCCACAGGGCTGTCCCCTCCTGGGGTGGGTCTGGAATGAGGGACAATGAGACAATAGCCAGCCCAGTGGCCCTAAGCCATGGAACTCAGCCTAATTAGGGGACAAGCAACGAAGAGTTAATTTAATTTTAGACCATGCTGAGTGCCTTGAAGAGGACAGACAGGGCTCTGGGAGAGAGTGACAGGGAAGACAACATCACATGGATGGTCAGAGAGGGTCCCTGTGTCTGAGCTTCAGCACAATCACCACTCGGGCCCACTGTGAGTCCTTGCGTGGAGCTCTCAGGTTAGTGTCCTGTTCATGGTGTTGTTAGCTGCCGTCAAGTTGGTCCGATGCTCGGCGACCTCACGTATAACAGAACGAAACGTTGCGGCATCCTGTGCTGTCTTCACCATCACTGGTATGCATGGGTCCATTGTTGCAGCCACTGTGTATTCTGAGTGCCTTCCAGCCTTACGGTGCTCATCTTCTGGCACTGTATCACACAATTTTCTGTTGTGATTCAGGGGGTTTTCAGTGGCTGATGTTCGGAAACAGATTGCCAGGTCTTTCTTCCTAGTCCGACTTAGTCTAGAAGCTCCACTGAAACCAGTCCACCATGAGTGATCCTGCTGGTATTTGAAATACTGATAGCATAGCTTCCAGTATCACAGCAACATGTAAGCCACCACAGTACAGGAAACTGACAGATGGGTAGTGGGCCCTGTTTATACCCTGTACTTATTTCTTCTGCAGAGAAAAAATTCCCACCTTGCAACTGCATCTGGCTGACAGGGAGATCTGGTTCTGAAGGAAGAGGGCTGCGCTCACGCCGGCAGAAGCACCACCCGCAGTGCTGGCCAGCTGGCTGGCTGTCTCCTTGCAGGCAGGCCATGCAGGGCAACAAGAAGGCCATGGATGGCTTCAGTGACTCCTCGAGCATCGGGAGCCTGCTGGACGACGCGGACCGCGAGGTGAGCAGCCTCACAGAACGTGCCTTCCGCAGCCTGTGCGTCTGCGAGGACACGTCTTTCAGCGAGTCCCCAGACCTCACCCGCCAGGTGCTCGGGAGCCACACCCAGAGGAAGAGCAGCATCTGGAGCCAGTTACCCTCACAGGAGCACACCAGCTGGGCGGCCACGTTCCAGCAGTTACCCAAGTATGTGCAAGGAGAAGGGAAGTACCCTAAAGGCAGCCCCCCACTAACGCCAGCCCAGAGGAGGCTAGAGGTGCCAGTTTCTGGCCTGAGGAGCAGCAACAAGCCCCTTTCCAAAGTATCGTCCCTAATTAAATCCTTTGACAGGCCAGAGAGCCAGCGTGGTGACAGCAGGCCTCCCCCGAGCAAGCTCTCCGTTCTGAAAACCACCCCCAAATTCGCTCCTCTTCCGGAAAGCGGTGTCAACTTCTGCTTTGATTCGGCCTTTCTGACCGTCAGGAGGGTGCCTGCCGAAGTCTCCAGCACTCACCAGAGTGGCCATCACCCTGCCAGGAAGCACGGGGAGCAGGAGTCCCCAAAGAACCTCGAAACGGCCTGTCACAGCTCCAGCAGCTTCCTCTCAGCCCCCAACAATGCCTCCAGCTCCTTCGAATCCAAGTTCCACTCCCCAGCCCACAAGCCAGCCAAGGGCGAGCCCAGAAGAGGCAAGGAGTGGGCTCCCAAAGGGACCTTCCTTCACAGTGAAAACAGTGCTTTTGAGTCATGGAGCACCCACCAACCATGGCTGCTAAAGAGAAAGGACCCCGCGGAGGGGGCCCCAGAAAGCAAAGGGCCCAAACATTACCAGGATGCGCCTCTGCTTAGAGAAGCCCACCCGCCTGAGCACAAAGTGTCCCCCAGCCACATGTGGGCAGGCTGCAGTCAGGAAGAGAGCAGACTGCCCGCTGGGGCTCTCTCCACATCCGGACCCTGGGGCTCACGGGACCCTGGAGCCCAGGTGTTCGCCATGGAGGGAAAAGCTCCCGGCTCCCGGACTGACCCTCAGGGGAAGCCAACTCAGCCTCCGTGGAGGAAACCAAGGACTAGCAAGGGAAACAAAGGAAGTCTACAAGATGCTTCAGAAGAAAAGAAACAGCCCCACAAGAGGGGCCCCCCTTTGTATGCGAAGCAGATCCCCCAGGGACAGTTTCCTGAAGAGGAAGCTCCTGACCTGCCCGTGGACTCCAGCGAACGTTACACTCCTCCATTTAACATCAGTAAGCTTCTGACGCCTGTCATACCCACCAAGCATGTCCTGGACTCCTTGAGCAGCCAGCCAGCAGAGAGGATCACATCACCCCCAGGACAGCCCAATGGGTACCAGGAGAAGGAGCCAGGTGAGGACCAGTCCCGGGACAGTTACAAATCCAAAGCCCCTAGCCTTCTGTTCAATCTCAAGGATGTTCGCAAGCGGGTGAAAAGCACCTACAGTCCCAACCCTCTCTTGAAGGGCCTTAATGAGAAGGCCAGAGATAAGGCAGATTTCAAGAAAGAGACTGTTAGCAATGGAGTCATCCTTCCTAACGGGCTTGAGGACAGTCCTGCAAGCCAGCTTTCTAAGGAGAGAACATCAAATGTCCCTACTGCATCGTATGTCAGCACCCAGAAGGACCCTAGAGCCGACCCCAGTGGGTCGTCTGTAGACAACTACCTAACTCTTAGCTCACCTCCAACTACCACCAAAGCCTCCTTCTGTGTCAATGGGGAAGCTGCTGAGACAGACAGCTATGAGAAGGACGATGCCCACAGGGAGGCGAAGCTGAGCCCCACCAGGCCAGGCTGGGGCCCAGCCTCCAGCCAGCACGGCCTCCGGAAGCACCTCTCTCTGAAGCTGTGTGGCCGAGAGCCTGAGGCTGCGAAGTCTGCTGGAATGCTCCAGACCCACCAGCTGCAGAATGGGTTCTCCAGATCGGTCTTCCAAGACATAGAGCCCAAGCAAGATGCAGGCCTGCAGAACCCAAGCTCCCAGCAGAAGCCCTCCCTGGGGCCCCTTTCTCCCGAGGAGGAAGATGTGTTTTATAGTGACAGCCAGTCAGACTTTATGCCAGGCCTCCAAAGCAAGGCCAAATTCAGCACCAGTTCTTCGGATCAATCCTTTGCCTCATTCGAAGACCAGCAGAAGACATGGTGTGCCGAGAGCCAGCGGGAAGACAGGAGGAATGACATGCGTGCAGGTGACAGCCAGAGGGACGAGAAGGAAGGAGCAATGGGGAAAGATGAGCAACAGTACTATGCCTTAAGTAATGGACATGCCTGTGTGGATGAGAACAGCAAGGGGGCGAGGCTGCAGAGAGATGGTGAGAGTTTGTCTGGAGGGAGACCAGGGAAGGTATCAGCAGAAGAAGCAAATTTCAGAGGCTCTTGGGTTGGGGGCACTAAGGACACGGCCCTTTCACATGCCAAAGACTTCACAGAAGCACCGTCTTCCACTTCAAACAAGCACATACTGTTTACAATTAAAGACAACACCCTCAGGGCCACCCCCGTGATCAAGCCCATCATGCTGCCCCTCCTGAGGACCTTGTCCTCAGAGGACTCACCTGGCGGTGGCCACAAAGAGGCAGAATCGCCAAGGCCAGGTGAGGATGCTTCCCCAGAGAGCCAGGGAATGTGCAGCACCCCAGCACTTATCCACCCACTGCCCACTAATCTGCAGGACACACGCTGGAGGCACTCAGCCCACCAGGGCCCAGAGGACCACCGGCAGGCACCCCGCATGGCCAGGACAGAGACTTCCCAGCCAGCTGCAAAGGGGGATCTCCTGTCTCCTCCACTGGCAGGAGAGGGTGAAGCAATGAGGCCACCCCTAGATGTGGCCGCTAACATTGTGGGGAGCAGTGGCAGGAGGAGCTCCACAGAGCAGGTGAGGCTGGACGCTCCAAGGTGCATCCCCAAGATCGTTTTCCCGGAAGATAACATAGAAGACGAGCCGCCCCTACACCTGCTGGGAATGTGTGGGGAAGAGCAGACGCAAGGTATCAAAACTAACTTTTTGTCCACACCCAGAGCAGAGGCTCCGGGGAGAAGACTGGTCCCTGGTGAGATGGAGACTTCACCCAACCCCAGCTCTCTGGAGGGAGACAGCGCATGCTCTCCCACGACCAGCGGCGTTTGGGACGATGCCTCCCAGGCTCCCAGCCAGCTGGGCTTGCCTCTACAAGAGGAGCGTCCCCAAACCAGCCCCTGGGCCAGCCTCGGCCCTGCGCTAGTCACCCGGCGGGAGGACCTGACCCATGCCCTGTTGTGGGAGGAGGGCTCTGACCCCCAGCTAGAGCCATCGGCAGAAGACCTCAGGCCTCTCTCTCCCAGAGGCTCCCTGCTGGACGTGGCTGCCAGCTCAGCAGGCCTCCCAGAGAGACAGGAGCCACCTGTGCAGCCAGAGAGGCCAGTAGGCAAGCCGCCTGCCGTCCCACCCAAAACTGAGAAGGCCCTGCGGCGGGCCAAGAAGCTGGCCAGCAAGAGGAGAAAGATAGATCAAGGTCAAGGGCGGCCTGGTGACCCCAGGGAGGAGAGACCCTGGCCCGAGGACTCCAGGCGGGCTGAGCAGAGGCCACTGTCCCCCAGGGACATGCCCCGACGGCCCAGTTTCCCCTTGGTCCGGTCCCTGCCCCTGCCCATGCACCGCCACTCCGTGTCCAGCTTCTCAGAGCACAGCAGGAGGCAGGCCCAGGGGCCTCAGTCAGCCAAGCCCCTGCCTCCATACCCCGCCACACAGAAGGTCCTCCAAGACCCCCAGTCTGGGGAGTACTTTGTCTTTGACTTGCCACTCCAGGTGAAAATCAAGACCTTCTACGACCCAGAGACTGGCCAGTATGTCAGGGTCCCCATCCCATCCTCGGCAGAGGGCTCCCCAGAGTCACCTCCAGTGGACGCACAGGCTGACCCCCTCCTGCTGTTTCCTGGCTTCCAGCCCCTGCGCATGACAGCCTTGACACCCCTGCGGTGCTCCTCCCAGCTCTCCGCTCCCACCTTCCTGTGGCCTAGCCCTCCCGCCACCACCAAGGGGGCCACTGTTGGCCACCAGGGTCCTCTTGAGGCTGGACTGCAGCGTGCCCCTCGGGCCTCCAGGGACTCAACCCAGAATGCACCCAGCCAATGCCCCAAAGGGCCTCCCCAGAGCCCAAAAGAGGAGAGCAGAGATGCTCCAAACCTGGAGATCATCACCACCAATGACTTAGAGGACTTTGCCACTGAAGGCATTTCTTGAAAATTAAGGCAGACTAACGCTCCCCACCCCACATAAGCCCAGAGGAGTTTATTTCCCCCATCCTAGAGCAATCACTGTGACACACACACACACAAACACACACACACATACACACACACATGCACATACCCACACCGGCACACATATGTGCACGCACATGCACACATGCATACATACAGGCATACCTTGGAGATACTGCAGGTTTGCTTCCAGACTACCGCAATAAAGCAAGTATCGCAATAAAGAGTCACATGAATTTTTTGGTTTCCCAGTGCATATAAAAGTTATGTTTACACTATACTGTAGTCTATTAAGTGTGCAATAGGATTATGTCTAAAAAACAATGCACATACCTTAATTAAAAAATACTTCATTGCTAAAAAATGCTAATCACCATCTGAGCCTTCAGCGAGTTATAATCTTTTTGCTGGTGGAGGGTCTTGCCTCGATGTTGATGGCTGCTGACTGATCAGGGTGATGGTTGCCAAAGGCTTGGGTGGCTGTGGCAATTTCTAAAAATAACATTGAAGTTTGCCGCATCAATTGATTCTTCCTTTCACTAGAGTTCTCTCTGTAGCATGGAATGCTGTTTGATAGCATTTTACCCACAGTAGAACTTCTTTTCAAAATTGGAATCGATCCTCTCAAACCCTGCCGATCCTTTATCAACTAAGTTTATGTAATATTCTAAATCCTTTGTTGTCATTTCAACAATGTTCACAGCATCTTCACCAGGAGTAGCTTCCACCTTAAGAAACCACTTTCTTTGCTCATCCATAAGAAGCAACTCCTCATCCATTAAAGTTTTATCATGAGATGGCAGCAATTCAGTCACATCTCCAAGCTCCACTTCTATTTCTAGTCTTCTTGCTATTTCCAGCACATCTGCAGTTACTTCCTGCACTGAAGTCTTGAACCTCTCAAAGTCATCCATGAGGGTTGGAATCAACTTCTTCCAAACTCCTGTTAATGTTGATATTTTGACCTCCTCCCAGGAATCACAAATGTTATTAATGGCATATAGAATGGAGAATCCTTTCCAGAAGATTGTCAATTTACTTCACCCAGATCCATCAGAGGAATCACTGTCTATGGTAGCTATAACCTTACAAAATGTATTTCTTAAATAATAAGGCTTGAAAGTCAAAATTACTCCTTGATTCATGGGCTGCAGAATGGATATTGTGTTAGCAGGCATGAAGACAACATTAATCTCCTTGTACATCTCCATCACAGCTCTTGGGTGACCAGGTACATTGTCAATGAGCTGTAATAGTTTGAAAGGAATCTTTTTTCCTAAGCAGTAGGTCTCAACAGTGGGCTTAAAATATTCAGTAAACCGGGTTGTAAACAATGTGCTGTCATCCAGGTTTTGTTGCTACATTTATAAAATGTAGGCAGAGTAGATTTAGCATAATTCTTAAGGGCCCTAGGATTTTCGGAATGGTAAATGAACATTGGCTTCAACTTAAAGTCATTAGCCCCTAACAAGAGAGTCAGCCTGTCCTTTGAAAGCCAGGCATTGACTTCTCCTCGCTAGCTATGAAAGTCCTAGATGGCATCTTCTTCCAGTATAAGACTTTCATCTACATTGAAAATCTGTTGTTTAGTGTCGCCACCTTCATCAATTATCTTAGCTACATCTTCTGGATAACTTGCTGTACCTTCTACATCAGCACTTGCTGCTTCACCTTGCACTTTTATGTTATGGAGATGGCTTCTTTCCTTAAACCTCATGAACCAACTTTTGCTATCTTCAAACTTTTCTTCTGCAGCTTCCTCATCTCTTAGCCTTCAGAGAATGTAAGAGAGTTAGGGCCTTGCTCTGGATTAGGCTTTGGCTTAAGGGAATGTTGTGGCTGGTTGGATCTTCTACCCAGAACACTGAAACTTTCTCCATAAAAACAATAAGGCTATTTTGCTTTTTTATCGTTTGTGTGTTCACTGGAGTAGCTCTTTTTCATTTCCTTCAAGAACTTTTCCTTTGCATTCACAACTTGGCTAACTGTTTGACTCAAGAGGCCTAGCTTTCAGCCTATCTCGGCTTTTGACATGCCTTCCTCACTAAGCTTAATCATTTCTAGCTTTTGATTTCAAGTGAAAGACATGTGACTCTTCCTTTCACTTGAATACTTAGAGGCCACTATATGGTTATTAAATGGCCTAATTTCAATATTGTCATGTCTCAGGAAATTGGGAGGCCCAAGGAGAGGGAGAGAGACGAGAGAATGGCTGGTCGGTGGAACAGTCAGAACACACACATTTATCGATTAAGTTAGCCATCTTATATGAGCGCTGTTTGTGGTGCTCCAAAACAATTACAATAGTAACACCAAAGAGCACTGATCACAGTTCACCATAACAGATATAACAGTAGTGAAAAAGTTTGAAATATTGCGAGAATTACCAAAATATGACACAGAGACATGAAGTGAGCTCACGCTGTTGGAAAAGCGGTACCGATAGACTTACTTGACTCAGGGTTGTCACAAACCTTCAATTTGTAAAAAAACACAGTATCTGTGAAGTGCAATAAAGCAAAGCGCAATAAAACGAGGTATGCCTGTCCATGAATACACGTACACATACATGCATACATGCACACATACATGCACGCACACACAGACACCGCCACATACTTAGCCATTTGAGATCCCCAAAGTCCAGAAGGACGTGGGAGATTCTGAGAAAACCCAACACAAAAGGCTCCCCTGGGGCATCCCTTGCTAGAGAGCATGTCCTCTGTGGGGCATTGTCTGCATGAACAGTCCCTCTGTGCCATTTCCCAAACTCCTTCCACTTCCTTTACCTCCCCCTCTCCACCTTTCTGTCCTTCTCTCTCCTTGTAAGTCTCCTGGATCTCTAATACCGGGGTCTGACCTGACTCCAGGCATTGCTCTGCTCCAAACCCCATCCCACCCCTTCTCAGGGTCAGGGCTGACAGCGGGCACAGCCCCCGAGGCTCAGAAATGGCTTGCTGGGGGGGCATCTCGGACAAGCAGGCTACACCACTAGAGTCCGTGCCGGGAACACACAACACCCAGCACAGAACCACGGCACAGACAGGGTGGCTCCAGCCCAGCGCAGAACCACCGCCATCCAAGTGTCCACGGCCTCTCGGGTGAAACTGGCTGAAGACTAACAGAAGGCAGTGGAACACCTTGCTGAAGTGTTTATTTGCATAGGAAGGGTTTTCTTTACAGGATGAACCTTTCTTCTGAAGGCTATTTTCTGATAAAGACGAGGCTACCTTTAAAAAAGTGAAACAGTTTACAGGCCTGGTTCTGTCCCTAACTCCTGTCTTTCTCCTATGAGCACAGCAGACCTGCCCGGCTAGTGGACTAAGGGCCACACGGACTCCAGGGCTGCGTCCCTGCCAGATGCACGTGGAGCCTTCCATGTCTGAGCCCTCCACCGCGTTCGGGGCCACTCGGCTTCCTCCCACCCCAGCATACCCTCCTCACCCCTTTCACCCTGCTGATGCGTTCTCTGGTAAGACAAGGAACACAAAGGTGAGGACACACAACCCTCACCCCAGGACAGCCCAGGGGAAAAGAGTCAGCCTGACACCTCCTCAGTTAGCAGAAGAAAAGTGCCCCTAATTGGTGACCTAGACTCAAAGGAAAATGCCATTGTCCCTGAGTCCCTGGCCTTGGGATTTGGAGGGAAGTATGTAAATCAAATCAAGGAAGCAGAGTGAGGTGACTGCCCCGCACCTTTGGGAGCAGTCAGGGCCTGTGAGTAGGTGCCCACAGTAGGAAACAGTGCTGAAGGACAGAAGGAAGGCCCCTTCCTGTAAGTTTCTGCCGGCAGCTTTTGCTGAAGCCTGTTAATTCTTTCTGTGGGAAGAACCAGGGCGAAAACACCTATCTCCTTCTGTAGGAACCCCAGCAGTTGAGGGGACTGTGCAAAATGCACAGCCCTTGCTATGTTCACAAGTTAACCACAGTGCAAATGGTTAACAGGTTCAGCTGCTAACTAAAAGACTGGACATTCAAGTCCAACCAGAGACTCCTCCAAAGAAAGGCCTGGGTATCTGCTTCTGAAAAATCAGCCAATGAAAATCCTATGGAGCACAGTTCTACTCTGACACGCGTGGGGTTGCCATGGGTCAGAGTCCACTCAAGGACAATTTGTGCTCTGCTCACAGAGATGCTGTTAAGGCTGGAAAGATGGGCCCGCAGCTCCCCAAGTCCTGGACTCACACCCATGCAGGGGCTATAAACACATTCAGGTCAGAACGTGGTTCATGATTTTAGACATATTCCGTTCTCCTGACGAACGCAGCCACTCCTTAACCTCCTTGTGAAATACTGCATAATTCCCAGCCAGATGCCATCAGGTTCGGCTTCCGCTAGGTGACTAGTGGGGAGTCAAGGCAGGTTAGCGTCAGGGAGTCTGTGCCCCTCATCACCAAATGGTCTCTCCATCATGCTTCCATCCTACTAAAATATGAAAAAGAATGTCTGCTTTGAACATTCCTTGGGGCCCCAGAAAAGGAATTGCCTAATACGAGACTCCCTCAGTTAAATAATGGTAGAGTAACTATGTCCCCGCAAGGAAAAAGATCCCATCAGCAAGCTTATGTTCGGACAAGCAGTGGTCTTCTGCCTTAATTCTGGAGTAGAAGCAATACAGGCAAAGCTAAGAACATGAGGGTAGATATTTGGGAATGGGGCATTTAACATGCTCTCCCACCAGCGAGCAGGAATTCCCTGGACACCTGGCTCCCCAGGAGGTCAGTGTGAGGGCCTCAGTCCACGGCAGCAAAGCACTCTGTGTTCCTAGGAAACAGATCTTGCCTCCAGAGGGCAAAAGTTACCACCTGCTTGCCAAAGGACATTCTCCTCCTGTCTGTCAGTAGGGGGTTATCACGTATGCCTCCTCCCTCCCTGCCTTCTGGCCTCCCTCCATCCTTATCTTTTTCCCTCTCTTTCCTCCTTCCTGCCCTCCTCCCCTTTCACTGCCCCCACCCCTTCTCTGTCCCCTCCTTCCCTTCC